GCTTCCGCCGTTTAATAAGATAATAATGCAAGGGTTAAATGTTCTCTCGCATTCGTCAAACCTCGGTAGCCGAAGATAATCATGAATTCATAGCGTCACTGATCTGTTTACCTTCAGAGATTACAACCGGTCAAAATGCTATCTCGGTCTTTCGCATGCTACAATGGCTCGCCAATAATCCCTGATATATTAGCATTCTTTGGTACGAATTTATCACAGCTTGTGAGTCAGTGATGGGCAACCTTTTTCATAAATGGGCTAATTTTAATTTTCATAGGACAAGTTCCAACTATTATTAAAAATGCAAAAAAGGAATTCTGCATCGATTGTGTTCTTCATTTTAAATCGACCTAAATACTTTTCACATAGGATAGCTGCACAGCTGAGCCGATAGTGAAGCCAGAAACCAACCCTATGCAGTATTGCTACGTTCGGGCAAATTAAATTATTTGATATTTTAAATATACCGGATATAAAAATGACTTATAGTTGATTTTGTCACATCTACACACTCCAGAGCTTTGTTGAATACGTGCTTTCGCCTGTGACATGCAAAAATGCAAACATCATTTTCTTGCTTGCTTCTCGTACACAATGTTCATACTCTCCGTCAGTATTGTGAACGTGTTAATTGATCGCTTAAAATCATTTATATAAAATTATATAAACAAATTTTAAGACGCCTCAAGTAACAGTTTTCCGAAAAAGAAGAAATGGCTCGTAAGATATGTCCGCTTGACATGAACGCATTCGTAGACTAAACACATGCATTAACGGCTTATGTTCCCAGGAGGCTTACATAATATTTGTAAAGTGTGCAAGACATTTATCGGTTGGTATGGCGTTTAGTCTCTCATAGCTGGAAGTTATGGCGATATTGAGTTCAATTCTTAGATTTGCTTTTAATCGTCAATAAAACTTATATAAGGTAACTGAAATTTTTGCTGTCGTGAGAGTACCGACGACGAGCAAACGACGACGGCTCGAAAGGCGGATCTAATTATTTTCCTATAAATTTTACGCTCAAGATACGTATGTCTAGGTATTATAACCCCGATAGCACCTCTAAGAGAAGTGAAAAAACAAACAAATAAATTATTTAAAAGTAGCGCTTGGCACGTCGAGGACAAACTAACTCTTTATATAGATCAACTTTTGATTATTATTACTGGGGCACTGAAGCGCAAACGAACTTTTTCAGCTCGGTTTTAATAGTACATGGAATAGCCTTTCGATCAGTGAATACATCTGATTTCGTTTGAGCAACGCTGTGTCTCTGTTCTGCATTGTTCCTTTTGTATCCGTCACAGGAAGATGAGAGTGATAGGTGTGTATTACCCGTAGTAAATCTTCTAATCCTTGTCGCACAACTCCCGCAATCTGATTCAAATTTGCCGTAAGGATATTGTTACTGAAATTGAGGCAAATCGGTAGGAGACAACCTAACCGAATAACAAGTGAGAAAATTGAATTCGATCGGGACAGAATCTTCTATACCCATTATTGTTATCCTAAAAAAGACTTAGTTAATATCTTTTATTTTCAATATAAACGGTCCGACAGACAGACGGACATGCTTAAACCGATTTTTCGAATTTGATACTCATCAAGAATATATATATATATATATTGTGTTGGGGTCTCTGATGTATCCTTCTCCGCGTTGCAAACGTTTTGACCATGATGGGGTATAGAAAAAAAATTAAGTTTTATGTCTGTTGCATAGAAACCACAACAACAAATACAATGATAAACGATTGGGATTGATATTCGAAAGTTGGCCCTGCAGTACATGTATAAAAATGGAAAAATTGGCCGCAGATCCGGAAAGAAACTTCAGAGACGATACAAAGCTGTTCAGTACGTATCGGTATTAAACGGTGACGGATGTAAAAGTCCTTGTCATGGCCGAATGTAATTTTCTTCATATTGTTTTAGTTATTGTTTAAAATCTGTGCACAAATGTTGTTCGTTAATGGCTATAAAATAGTTTTAAAAATACACGATATCCTGTCCTATCCATTAACAAAAGTTCGTAATAAGTTTTCAAAGTTATCATCAATTAATGAGCAAACTATTCGCTACACATAAAGATTGCTTAAGACGATCATGATTGAAATCATTGATTGATTTCATGTGACTTTTAATTATTGATTTCACGTTAACTTCACATTCATATAACTTGAACCTTCAAGTTGAAGCTTTTCTTCGGAAGTTTTCTAAACATTGCTTGAAGCGAACAATATACTTATGTAAGATAAATAAATATTTGAAAGTTCTACGCAAGTCTACTAAAGCTTTTCTATTCCACTTAACGCTTATTAATAAAAAAACTAATAAAACTAATTGATTAGACATTTGTTGTTTAGTCAGTTGTTACCAAAAATGGTAAGCAAATAAAATAAAATTTTTTTTTTATTTTCTTTAAATACTATTTAAATCCCCATTAAAGGCAATGGAAGCATGTATGATTGTTGGTGTTGTCGGACATGGGTATAAATGTAAACTAAAGATCCGCACCTTAAATAAATAAAATATATATCGAGGATAATAATTTATATTTATGAGGGAAAATAAATAAAATTAAAAAAAAAAAAAAATAAATATATATATATATATATACTGTATATATATATACTGTAAAATATAATGACATTTGAATGGAATCAAACATTAAACAGACAGATAGATATAGACAAAGAAAAAAAAAAAAAATACAAAATAGAAAATGAACGCAAACACAAACACAAACCATTTATCATTTTATAGGAGAATTTGGAATTTTATTGTTTTTCACACACTCGTTTATTTGCGTATCAACGTACTTACATACAATAATAGCAATAAATGCAAATATTTTATATCATTAGTGAGAAAAAAATGTTAAAAATTCACTTACACTGACAAGCAAAAGAAAAAAAAAAATTCCCGAAAACAATAGAAAGATCTTTTGTAGTATAAAGAAGTATATAGTAGTAGAATAACGCACATGCATACAAATATGCATGCCAACGCATACACACACATATATATATATATATATACATTACATAATCATGATAAAAAGTGTACATAAAGTCATTAGCTTGTAGTGCATTAAAACATGTGTACAAGTCATGAATGAATGAACGAATGAATGAATGAATGCAAGCAAGCAAGCAAGCAAGCAAGCAAGCAAGCAAACAAACAAATAAGCGAGTAAAGCAGCAATCATTTGATATGATCGTATGAACAAATGCTTAAATAAAACTAATAACTTATACACATATATATATATATTTATATATATATTTATATTTATATTTATATATATGATCTGTTATGATGCTGGTCATTGTTGATTCAGATTCAGACACATATGCCGGTGTTGTTTTCAAATTCTATAGGAAATCA